AGAGCTAGCATTGTGGTAAACCGCCTACTGAGATGAACTGTCATCACTATAATTAAATTAAAACCCATAAATAATAAACAGGCTAACACATGAACTATCATTGAAATAAAACCATTGAACACCCGTAAAGAAATCACCCATGTTTATTTTATTTAACAGTGATAATGTGATCGTTGGCAAATTTACAGATCAGCGTAAGAGTAAACCGTTAATTTGGTGGTCGCTGTAACTATGAATTAGATTAAAATTAACTTCTTGGTAACAAACTGAAAAAAAAAACCTTGAGGAGGGCGTGGAGGTCCACCTGCCAAAAAAAAAATTACTACTACTAAAATAACTGTCCATTACAGTTAGCTATAGCTAGCTACAGCGGGCTGGCTAGCATTACACAGCAGGGCTGTTATTGGTGTAGTCTACAATCAATAGCTCGAAAGTTAGCATTTTTTTGTAGTTACCTACTGTACATTCATGCTATCAAATAAAGATAAGGTATTAAATAAGCTTGTTATAAAGTGAACGTTAAACTGAAGCGTATATGACGAGTGCCTGACCCCTCAGATGACCTCTGTGGTAAACAAGTAAACAAGGGAAGTAAGCAGCATCGTTATGGAGAGTAAAGCACTGTGTAGCCAAAGCTACATAGGAAAAAAAGAACTCGGAGTGTTCATAACACGGTCTGTGAGGACTATTACACAACGTACACACAAGCAAGTATGTGAAGTGTGTGTGTGTGTGTGTGTGTGTGTGTGTGTGTGTGGCGTTACGGTAAATAAGGCATGCTTTATGTAAGCGCTCAGTGGCTATTTAAACTGTTTCCTGTGGAAAGTTTTCCTTCAGCTGCTGGAATGCAGTCCCACACACACACATACACACAAACTTTCTTTAGTGTGTATAATGGTGTGTGTACGTGTGTGTTTGTTGTGTGTATGTATTTGCACATATTTTTGGCTTAAAAGAATTTGCTTTTTGGTCATGTAACAGTTTTTTGATTAAAAGTGTATGTGTGTAATGGCGTGTGTGTGTGTGTGTGTGTGTGTGTGTGTGTGTATGCATGTCTGTCTGTCTCAGCTTGTCTCCTCCAGTAGCTGCAGTGTGTCTTCTGTGTATTGTGGGCGCTTGATTCCTGTCTCCAGAGCCTCACAGTCGTTCGTCAGGTACACCATATCCTAAACACACACACACACATCATCATCTTATTATTATTTGATACTTACACTATTATTAAGGTTACTGTACGTTAATGGTGGTTTTGTGGTATGAATGATACAGGATAAACCATAAACAAGGATCAAATTTGTAACAGAGCACTCCTCAGTCTAGGTTAAAAAAATGGCTTTCATACTGCTCCACTAGCGTGCACTCATTTATTTACGTTCAGCACACACACATCAACACCTTTGCTCTTTGCAGCACAAGTTCACGTTGTATAAACAGCCAAACTGTGTTGCGCTAGCAGTGAGAATGGAATCTGTAATGAGACACAGCTGACCAGTGACAGCAGCTGCATGTAAATGTACATGGTCATTTTTTTTTATTACTGGAATATAATACAGTAAAAAAAAAAAAATGATGGTACTCTTGTGGTAATAATATCGTGATAATGTAGTCCAAATTGGGGTGATCATATCATGCACGATGATATGGCGGTTATAAGCCAATAATATTGTGATGTGGTGATAAAATGGTAATGATGTCGTGATAATGTAATGATAAGGTGGTGATAATTGGGGTGGAAAGACTACAAAACACAGTGACTTGATTAAAAGTACCGCTACTGTAGTAATAATTTACACTAATAAAAGTGATGCTCAAAAAAATCACTCAGGTAAGAGTGAATAAATCACCTAGTGAAAAACTACAACTGTTTACAACTGACACAACTAACCCCAAAGTGTTCTATTTTCTATTTTCTTCTGATGTTATACTTTTTTTTAAAAACTCTGTAACAGTGATTAAATGTGGCGAAGTGGACTACATTATTTTTAAAAAATAACGAGGTAAAAGTACAGTGATTTAATTTGAATGATTTAACTGTACCATTACAGTGAAACATGTACTCAAGTACAGTAACAAGAGTACATGTACAGCACTGTGCAAAAGTCTTAGGCACCCTATTTTTTTTTTTAGTACAAACTTTGTTACAGATTTTTATTTTATGACTTCTACATTATCGATTCAGTACAAAAACATTTTAGAATTCCAAACATATTACATAAGAGACACTTTTCAGACCAAAAAAAAACAGAATGAAGGCTGCTGGGTTTTGCTGCAAAAATAAGAAGCGAGTGCGACAGACAAAGTCTCCAGAAGAACTGCGGCTGCTTCTGCGAGATGCTCAGTAACACTTACAGCTCATTTCCTTATCAACCTGCACACACTGCACCTGAGACTACTATTTTTTTTTTAAAGCGAAGGATCGTCACACCAAATATTGACTTTGTTGCATTTATTACTGTTTACTGCTCTTTATAATTTTTTTTTTAAATGGAGAAACATTTAATTTCATTATTTTTGAAGGCATCTTTGCTCTACAGCATTTCTTTGCATGTGCCTAAGACTTTTGCACAGTACTGTAGTTTGTTACTTTCCACCCCTGGTGACAATACAAACACAATATGCTGAATTTACTGTGATAATATAGTGATAGTATAGGGGTAATGTGGTGATAATGTAGGTGTAATATGTTGACTATACTGGGATTATACTGTATAGTGATAGTATAGTGATAATGTGGTGATAATGTAGGTGTAATATGTTGACTATACTGGGAGTGATAATGTGTTGGCATGATAAAAGTGCCATACCCGGTAGCACACACGGCTTATGATGTAGTAGAGTGTGAGCATTTTGCGTTTCAACAAGACGATACGAGGTCGCACCCTGCAATGTTCCACTGGTAGATTATCCAGCACATACAGGAAGTCTCGCAGCTTAGCCGTCACACAGGAATTCTGGGTAAAATATTCACATAAAGCATTTTGTGATAATAACATACTAGATGGACACTTGCAGAAAGAAAAACTCTGCCCTGGCAACTTCTCAAGGCCTTTGTGTTAAAAGCAGAAGCGTTTGAGAATTTACAAATGAATCTAAAAATATATATAGCCTGGGAATCTGTTGCTACAATTCCTATGGAGCACATACAGTCAGGTCTATTATTATTTGGACATTGAAAAGGTTATTGTTATTTTACCACAGTATATTGGAGTTGAACTAAAATAATGAATATGGGAAGATTTTTTTTTAGCTTTAATTCGAGGGTATTTACATCCAACTCTTCCAACTTATCACATCTTGATTTGGCATTCCCAAGTCATTCCACAGGTTTTTTGACAGGATTTAGATCTGGGCCATTCCAAATCATTGATCATTGCTTTGTTGACTTGGATGTGTGCTTTGGGTTGTTATCATGCTGGAAGGCGAAGATTTTCTTCCTCTTTAGCTGTCTAACCGAACTCTGCAGGTTTTGTGCCAAAATAGTCTGGTATTTGGAGCTTTCCATGATTCCATGATCTTGACTAGAGCCCCAGTCCCAGCTATAGAGAAGCAGCCCCATAGATGCTGCCACCACCATGCTTCACCACAGGTATAGTGTTGTTTGGGTATTAAGCTATTTTGTTTTTGCTCCAAATATATCTTTTATAATTATGCCCAAAATGTTCTACATTGCTCTCATCAGACCATAACATATTTTGCCACATGGTTTGGGGTGATTTGGGTGAACTTGGATCTCTTTTTTTTTTTTTTTGTGAGAAAAGGCTTCTGTGTAGCCAGCATACCCCATAGCCTAGATATGTGAAGAATACGAGAGATTCTTGTCACATGCAGGGAGTGACCAGTACTTGCCAGATGTTCCTGCAGCTCTTTTAATGTTGCCATAGGTTTCTTGGCAGCCTCCCTGATCAATTCTATTCTTGTCCTTTCATCAACTTTAGAGGAATGTGCTGTTCTTGGTAATGTCACTGTGGTGCCCCATTTTTTTCCACTTGTTGACAACGGCCTTCACAGTGTTCCATGGTACAGCTAATGTTTTGGAAATTCTCCTGATCGAAACGTTTCCACAGTGAGATTCCGCACATTCTTTGTAAGCTCTGTGTGGACCATGGCTTCAGCAGTAGGATGAAACCAAGAAGATGCTAAGAGAATCCTACAGAAAATGCTGTTCTTTGGGGTTGTGTGTGGTTAATCAGAATCACTTAATACATGACAGGTGTATGACAATTACTTTTGAACACAAATGCGACTGGTTAATTCTGAGCGCAGTTTATCGCACCAGGTTACTGTACTGTAAGTGTTTTTTCCCCCCCCGAAATGTTTCTATTTGAATTTTGTCAGTTGTTATATCACATTAAAAAATCTGATTTATCACATTAAAGAACTGATTTATTATTTTCATCCCAAAAATCTGCAATCTATTTTCATTCCCAAACACCCGCAACATTCAAATATTCGGAGACCCTTCCTGTAATGTCTAACATCAGTTTTCACAAGACCCCCACAACCACTAGCTGCAAAACAGCCCAATGTATCTCCGCCAGAATTTACAATGGGTGTCAGTGGGTTTTTTTTTTTTCTCCCCATGTAGTCCCCTTTCCCCCAAATTCCAGTTATAGTTGAATGATACTTGATGAAATTCAGGCCATGTGTTTTGTGATATGCTGCCAGGAAGAATAACTTAGATCATGTGGTTTTTTTAATGGTTTGGAACAAAGTGGGAAAGAGTTTTGGGAGGAATAATAACAATAATTCATCCATTCTCTGTACTGCTTATCCTACACAGGGTCACAGGGGAGCCTGGAGCCTATCCCAGGGGACTTGGGGCACAGGGTGGGGGACACCCTGGACAGGGTGCCAACCCATCGCACGGTACAATCACACACTACAGACAGTTTGGAAATGCCAATCAGCCTACGATGCGTACCTTTGGACTGGGGAGGAAACCTGAGTACCCAGAGGAAACCCCTGAAGCACTGGGAGAACATGCAAACTCCATGCACATAGGGCAGAGGTGGGATTCGAACCCTCAACCCTGAAGGTGCAAGGTAACAGTGCCAACCACTAAACCACCATGCCCTCCTCATGAGAATAATTGTTATATGTTGTTATTATTTAAATATTATAAAAGCTTATTTTAAATGATGTAATGGCTGGGTATGACATGCTTACGTGAACGTCCAGAAACATTTTCGGGAAAATCTCAGCGCAGTCCTTCTGTAAACACAAAATGAAAAACAACAGGAGTGTGAGACTCGCGCGCGTGTGTGTGTGTGTGTGTGTGGGTGTGTCGCTCACCGTGCGCGGAGACCTGTGCGTCTTCTCCAACACTTCCATGATCTCCTTGCTGAGTTGGAGAGCGCGTGAGTAACAGGTCGGGGGCACGCATTTTCCCACCCGCACTACACTCCAGAAGACGAGCACAAAGAAGATGAAAAAGCAGCGAGCGCGTGCCGAGCTCATTTCGGTGGACTTTTCAGTCTGCGCGCGCTGGATCCCTGCGCAAGCGACTTCAGTCTGCAGGAAAGTGCGCCGCTCTGGTTTATAAGGGGCCGTTCTGACGTCACAGGACGGAGGCGCGTGCATCTAAAACCTCTGAAGACACCCCATAGCACCTCATTAATGCTTAGTGGTGAAGTGTGCACTTCCTTTGCCCCCCCCCCCCCTCCCCCTGCTGGTAAGTAGTTAGCTTAATCGAATTTGTTTATCTTCTCTAAGTTCACACCATCATGTGAAATGCAATGCATGAAATTCCTGCAGAGCTACAAGATTTGGCACAATCATAGCAATTACACACTGTCACACCTACATGACTGATGTGTGCCTAATAATTCCCGACAGTGTGTGTGTGTGTGTGTGTGTGTTGCCATCTAGCGGCAATTAAGCACAAACTCTCTCTCTCTCTCTCTCTCCCGAAATTTGTGTGGGTGGAGAGAGAGAGAGAGATTTCTGCAAGGTAGAGAGCACTGGTTTCAGCAATCCATAGGTGAATAAAATCCTGCAAATACAGGTCAAGAGCTTCAGTTAATGTTCACGTGGGTTGTCGGTTGTTGGTGCCAGCAGTGTTGATCTGAGTATTTCAGAAGCAGCTCATCTCCATGTTGTGGGATTTTCACACGCAACAGATTCACAGCAGTTTACCCAGAATAATGTGAAAAACATCCGGTGAGCAGCAGTTCTGCTGGCAGCAATGCCTTGTTCATGAGAGTAGGTCAGCGGAGAATGGCCAGACTGCTCAGAGCTGACAGGAAGTCTACAGTAACTCAAATAACTACTCTTTACAACTGTGGTGTGCAGAAAAGCATCTCAGAATAGACAACACACTGCACCTTAAGGCAGATGGGCTACAGCAGAAGAAGACCACGTCAGGGTTCCACTTCTGTCAGCCAAGCACAGGAATCCAAGGTTAAAGTGGACTCAACAAAGACTGGACAACTGTAGCTTAGCAATGACAAAAAGCCAGAAATGCAGGAGCAGTACTAAGAAGAACATGGAAGTGTGTGTGCAATGAGCCCTTTGGAGTTCGCGTGACAGGATGTTCGAGGTGCAAAAATGACTGTAATCAAATAATCTCATCTCTAGAAACCTGAATATTTCTCATAACAATTAAGTTAATGTTTAACTGTATAACAAAGATTTCCGTTTAAACGCTTGTCCTATATTTGCTAGCTCTATGAGTAATTAGTATTTGATTTAATGGAATATAGCACTTTAAAAGATGATATGCAGTGAGGGAAAACTTGACATGTGACATAACATACAGTAACAAAAGATTTTAGTATGTGCCCAAGTGATGGTGTTATGGGTCATGAAGCATGTGCAGAAAACCAGGCTCTAGTCATAAAAGCTAATAAAGATAATTGTTTATATGCTTCTGGGAGCATATATATATATATATATACTCGCTCCCTTCCCCCTTCCTTTCTGTTTCTCTAGTCTTTCCCCACCCCTGGCTCTTCCTCTTTCTGACTCATCCTGTAAACCCTCTCTCTTTCTCTCTCTCTCTCTCTCTCTCTCTCTCTCTCTCTCTCTGAGTAAAGGCAGGTTTCTCTCAGAGTGTAAATGTCCAGTGCAAGCAGCAGTTCGCTCTGTAATGGATCTGTAATGGATGTATGATGGCTGTATGATGACTGTATGATGAAAGTATGATGGTTGTGTGACTGATGTGTGACAAGTATGATGCAGATGTGATGTAAATGTTGTCCTGCACCATGGGATGTTGGTTCCCACCGTAAGGGAAATCCTGCGCATGGGCTGAATGCACCAGAATATGGGCGTGAATCAGACACGCGAGTTGCCGGTGTTTGATCAAGATGAAGACGGTAAGGAGCTAGACTTACCACATGCACATACACACACACACACACACACACACACACAAAAACACACATCACTACTAATTTGAGGAGGTACTGTGATGTGACTGTAATGTTAGAGCAGCATCACTCCTGAGTGGAGTCAGTTAAGTTATAGGAACCAGTTACAACTGTTTGTGTGTGTGTGTGTGTGTGTGTGTGTGTGTGTGTGTGTGTGTGTGTGTGTGTGAGAGAGAGAGAGAGAGAGATTCACTGTACATGTTTTCTCTGTTATTGTAGTCTCTGACTTGTTTATTTTCCTTTAATATTTCAGATACAGAGTTAGAAAAATAAATAGAGAATTAGAAAGAGAAACATATATATAAAACATTGTATTTCACCATTGTGAACGCAAAAGTGTATGTCCACTGAGTGAGCGTGTGTGTGTGTGTGTGTGTGTGTGTGTGTGTGTGTGTGTGTGTGTGTGTGTGTGTGAGGGCTGACTGGCTCTGACTGAAAGCTGATGAACCACGCTCTACCTTGGTTTTGTCATACCAGCTCTTATACCCTGACATTTACTTGCACCCAAACACACAGACACACACACACACACATACACAGAGCTTTCCACTTTTCTACGCATCCGTGTGTCCAACCAAATAGATCAGTGTAACCCGATGACAATAATTATAGGGATACAAACTCCAATTCTGCTCAGCTTCCCTGGGGCTCAGGGCTTTGTCAGTATTACACACCAACCAGGTTGTCACTCTGATACAAAATGTTTGTTACTCCTTGGCCTTTCAGCAGCCTTTAACAAAGTGAGTCACAAGACGCTGTCAATCCTCATGAGGCTTGGAATTAGTGGTACAGCATGGCAGTGATTTGCTACATCTGCTCCATGCAGACTCTCCACTGTTGGCCCAAAAGGATCAGTACTGGGCTTTCTTCTGTTCTCCCTCTATACCCGCTCTCTCAGTGAGGTAATATCTTTTCAAAATATCTTTTAAAATCCCCACATCTTTTGATTTTTTGATCTGGACAACTCTTGGATCACACCATCTGGCAACATACGCAACCTTGGGGTAGTTCTGGACAACCAGCTATACTTCTCTCCTCACACTGCTAACCTGACTAGGTCATATTATACAACCTCAGGAGGATCCAGCCATTTCTATCTAAGGAGGCCACTGAGGCACTTGATAAGTCTGTGATCATTTTGAGATTGGACTACGGCAACTCGCTCCTGGCTGGTTTGCCCCCGCGTGCCATCTGACCCTGCAAATATTCCATGATTTAACTGCACATCCCCAAGTTCTCCCAAACCAAGCCATTGCAGTGCTTGCTCCACTGGCTTCCTGTAGCCCAAATTAGATTTAAAACACTGATGTGAACCAGCGCCAACTTACCTTAAGGCACCTGTCCTAACCCATTATGCACAACACACCCTCTGACCCTCTAGCATGGCTCAACTAGAAACACCATTTCACTAGGTAAGAAAAGATTGCATCAAGGCTCTTCTCTGTCATGGCACCCAGGTGGCGGAATGAACTCCCATGGTTTTCTGAACAGCTGAGTCACTGGCAGTTTTCAAACAAAGACTAAAAACCGCTTCACCAAGTACTTGAATTAGCTCTATGTTAATCGATTTTTTTAATCATCCTTGTTTTGTGTTGTCTTTTTATACCATACTAACCTCCCCAACTCAGATTTATTTAGGCTGATGGTACACATAGTCCCTGACCTAGTGAACTAGCATGAGGATCTGTTTTTGCTAGAGACTACAAAGCACTTCTGTAGGTCACTCTGGATAAGGACATCTGCTAAATGCTATAAATGTAAATGTTTATTCCCTCTTGGACAGAAGTATGGTAAATGTAAACTCAATGGTTCAGAACAAAGGGTTCTACTTACTTTACATACTTTCTTGTTCAGACGGACAGCAGTTTCTGCCTAAGTCTAGGACTAAATTGGTTCCTAAAAGCCTTCCCTTTCCATATACTAAGCCACGGGACTAGGTCACGTCCGTTGCTCTGCGCAACTCCTACTTCCATGTGAATCAATCAAAAATAGAAGACTGCAAGCTAACAGTCCAGGAAACACTACTGAATGCAAGAGTGGGTGTTATATGCCATTTGGTGTAAGCTGTTATGCAAAAGATGTACACCTTGTTGACTGGACGTGGTACACTGCTCAGTTCCCACAATACTATCTGCCTGGTAGCATCCTAATGTACTATACAGATTGGACAGCAGTCATCCTCAGACATGCTGTTCTACTGTCAGGGAGGAAGGATATGAGAGGCTCTCTTGTCCAAACAGTGATTGGCCTGCTGGGTGGTGGATGCCCAGCCCCTACCATGGCATGCCACTCTACAAAGAGTGTCTCCTCCTCACGGGCATTACTTAGAGGTATACCACACCAGGTTGTTACTCCACCACTGTTACCAGGGTATCACCATGCACATTCTTCAGGTCCCACAAAATTAACCTCACCCCTGCATACCATTCCAGCAGTCCCTGGATTCTCATGACACCTGGCAGTTAGAAAGGTTGAAACTGAATGCTAGTGCTGTATATAACTGTTGAACCTGGTGAGAGAAGGTTCCAGGGAAATATCATACATCACTTTGTGACTTTGTTGGACGGTCTTGGCATGCTTGCATATGTGCACAAGAAGGTATCTCTGTGAATTGTGCCGCTCCCGGTGGTTATCCGACATTCACAGAACCACAGTTATATATGTAACTAGCTTTCCTCCAGTTTGAGAGGCCACAACCCACTC